ATCGAGGAATAACCTGGTTTTTTTTTATTATTTTCGACTATGTATTGCGAGTCCATCGAAATATTATTTCACGCTAAGGCGAATGACACTTTATTTGTATTTTATTTGGCGCATATCAAACATCGATGCCGATAGATATCTAACATGTCCTTTCAACGCCATGTGTAATGTACATACATTCGTTCAAACGTAACAACTCGTTCATTTTAACATTAGTATGTCATACTAACTATGGTGATATTCAAACACGATGTTATTCCTGTCACTGTCCTCACGTAGTACTTAACAGATAGCAATCCCTGTTTTTAAGAACCTTTGATACTTTGCATATCATACTAACCATACATGCCTAGCCACGATTTTTATTAATATAGATATCATGTGTATACGTCCATCATTCACGACAATGTTGAACCATTTGCAAAGAATCATATTCATTTTCCATGTTGCATACATCATAAATCATGTTATTTCATATTATCTAAAAAAGTAACCACATGGTAATGTAGCATAATTTCAATGAATCAAGGAATATTGAAAATTTCTTTAAAAGTAGACAAAAACAAATGACAATTAACAGAAGAAATAACACTTTTGTCAAAATGTTTGGAGATTGAAAAAAAAAAAGAGCAAAAGAGATATTTTCTAGAGAAAAATTCGAGACACGTGATGTGACTTTCTTTTTAAAAATACCAAGTCGATAATTAGACACTGCATGCACATCAAAGACCAGTGCTTTATGGTTTGTTATTAACCATTGTTGGTACAGCGAAGGGACCGGGCCAGGCTAGAGAGCTACGCAGAGGAGCCTTCATCTTTGCTCCCAAATCTGAATCTGGTAAACATCAGCCATCCCACATTACTGCTTGCTACACTTGAAACGTCTCTTATCAGTCGTATGCGATACTTTAATGTAAAAAGATTAATTAAAAAAGTAAAAAACTCGTGCGAGAAGCAAATATAAATAATAAAGAAGCTATAAATTAACACAAAGTGTGCCACTATGCTGTCACTTTTGGTTGTTCTTTATTTTTTCTTGCCTATTTCATTCAATTTTTTGCTTTGCGTATCTGAATTATGTTTGTCGATAATATCTTCTTCGACTATTTTAATGTTTCATTCGGAAATTGAATTATCAAACTTTTAAAAATACATACAATACATGTAAGAAAGAAATTTTTATTTTTTTTTTT